TTTTTTTTTTTTTGTTTTATGTATTTTAAATGATATTTTTTTGTATAATGTGTATTAATAAATGTATTTTTTTATTGATAACTTTGTGTAATGTATTTTTTATGCTAAATAATTTTGTAGATGTATTAAAATTTTATTTTGTAATTTTTTAATATTAAAATGATACCATATGAATAAAAATTTAACAAACTCAAACAAGTTTATTTGATTAGAATAAAATATAAGTAAATTTAAGATTAAATATACATATATACCAATTTATTTGAAATAAAAAAATGAATAAAAAATAATATATTTAATGTAGAGTAAAATGTAGAGATAAGGGTTGGAGACGAATGTTCAACTCTACTCTAGAATAGAGTAAAGTCCGCACTAGAGTAGAGATAAGAGCTGGAGATGGCCTGAATGTTCAACTCTACTCTAGAGTAGAGTAAAGTCCGCGCTAGAGTAGAGATAAGGGCTGAAGATGGCCTAATGCAAGCAGGAAGATATAACTTTAATCTGGAAGCAAGAATCTTTGAAATGATTTTGGGAGCCACACAACACAAACTAATAGAACGAAAATTCTCAACTTTAGAAGGGTTCTGAGATTTAGGAACAAGGGTGATCAAGGTTGTAAGAAATAATTGGTTTTGTACCGATTTAACGAAGTAGAAGACTTCGGAAATTCTCAAAATCTTTGTAAGAGCATCTCCAATGGCTTGTGCTTGTTCCATTCCATTGCCACATGGCCCCAAAAATCCAATGTGGCATGTAAAATTTCTAGAAATCTTTCTACATGTAGAAAGACTTCTTGACATCTTCTATCTATATTATATTTTTTATTTTATATATCTTTTTCACCAAATAATTATTATCTTACAAATGTCAATTTATTCTACAATTGACATTCACCGTTGGAGACAAATTATTTTTGATTCTTTTTTCCACAACATACATATGAAATTAGACATTGTGCCATTGGAGATGCTCTAAGGTGAATGAGAAATTAATTCTAAGTGTTATATGTTAATTAATTGAGTTTAAATAACTAAAAGGTTGTAGGGTTCACAAACATTCTGTTTTGACAAATGTTTGGACAAACTAAACGAGGCATAATTATGTATTATGTATGCTAGAATTGTAAAAGGGCTCGTTGGGGACAAGTAGGGAAAAACAGAACTCGATTTCGAGTCCGTATGAGCTCGTACAAGCCCGCGTCGCACAGACGCGCAACAAGAGCAAAAATTGAAGGGTCGCGATCCTTGGTAACCATATGGTGTCTTTTGACCACTAGATGCATCCGTTCTCATTCGGGCACGTCCCAAAAGGTCTTCCCTGACTCAAGAGTCCCTGATACGAGAGTCGGCTGTGACACACTTCTAGTCTCTCTTCCCTCAGATCGGGACTTGATTACGCCCCCAACGCTTTCTGTTTCCCACCATCCTGCAGTAGGTCGACCATGTCCATCTCTACGACCTCTCGAACAGGGAGGAGGTCTGGGAGGCTGTTTTTGGGATTGATCCCAACAGTGTTTCTTGCCCGGATGGCTTTTTGTCTTTCTTCTTCCAGGCCTACTAGGATATCGTTGAGACGTACGTGGAGGAATCTGTGGTGAATTTCTTCTCGGGTCACCAGATGTCGAAGTCGTTCACAACAACCTCTATTGTTTTGATACCCAAGAGACCTGGCCCGCTTTCTTGGTCTGATTATAGACATATCAGCCTTTGTAATGTGACTAACAAGACCATCTCGAAGATTTTTTTAATGGTCGTCTGGCCCCTCTCCTCCCTTCCCTCGTCTCTTCGTACCAGAGTGATTTCATCAAGGATCGAGTCATCAGTGAAAACATCCTATTGGCTCAGAAGATGATCCACGACATCTCTCATACGAACCAGTCACGAGCCCAACCTTGTGTTGGAGCTAGATATGGCTAAGGCATATGATAGGGTCGACTGGCTGTTTCTCAGGGAGGTTCTGTTTCGGATGGGCTTCCCTGAGCATTGGATTAGTTTTGGGGAGGTGTGCGTGG